CATTAGTTCATTGGTAATAATTTTAGTCAATCTTAAACCTCTTTTTTTTTTTTTAGTTAATCCTCACCTTTTTTAGTTATTCCTCAAATATCCTCACCTAAGGATATTTTTCCTTTGATGTTTAGAGAGAGTGAAGGGGAGGGGGCAAGATAGAGAAAAACATCGATGTGAGAGAGACACATTGACTGTTTGCCTCCCACACACGCCCCAACTAGGTCTGAGGATCAAGCCTGCAACTGAGGTAGGTGCCCTTGATTAGAATCAAACCCAGGACCCTTCAGACAGCAGGCCTACGCTCTTATCTACTGAGCCAAACTGTCTAGGGCTTAAACAATTTTTAATAAATGACCTTAAGCGCCAAAACCGGTTTGGCTCAGTGGATAGAGCGTCGGTCTGCGGACTGAAAGGTCCCGGGTTCGATTCCGGTCAAGGGCATGTACCTTGGTTGTGGGCACATCCCCAGTAGGGGGTGTACAATAAGCAGCTGATCGATGATTCTCTCTCATCGATGTTTCTGGCTCTCTGTCCTTCTCTCTTCCTCTCTATAAGAAATCAATAAAATATATTTTAAAAAAATAAAAAATAAATAAATGACCTTAAGGGACAGACTGGGTCTCACTATTAGTTGTTTACTTAACATCTACTTAAATAAAATATCCACATCAAATTAGAATGAAAATATATGAATTCCTTTAGTTTAAACTGGAAGTTTTCATTTTTGCCTTTTGTGAGCCATTGAGGAAGACTAGTTTCATAGAATTTGATAAACTTAGTTTTACTCAAGCAACCAAGGGGAAAATAAATAAATTGGATTTCATAAAAATTAGAAACTTAATGTCAAAACCGGTTTGGCTCAGTGGTAGAGCGTCGGCCTGCGGACTGAAAGATCCCAGGTTCGATTCCGGTCAAGGGCATGTATTATACATTGGTTGCGGGCACATCCCTAGTAGGGAGTGTTCAAGAGGCAGCTGGTCGATGTTTCTCTCTCATCGACATTTTTAGCTCTCTATCTCTCTCCCTTCCTCTCTGTAAAAAATCAATAAAATATATTAAAAAAACAACAACAACCAAATGTGACATATTGTATGATTCCATTTATATTAAATGTCTAGAATAAGCAAATCTATAGAGATAGAAAGTACATTAGTGATTTACGAGGGACTGGGGGTTGAGGAATGGGTGTCAGTGGTTATGGGGTGATGATAATATTCTGGAATTAAATAGTAATGATGATTAAACAACATTGCAAAAGCTCAAAACATCACTAGATTATACATGAAAGCAAAAGAAAATAAAACCTTAGTTTTATATTTCAGTGCCACTTTTGACTGATGGTGACCCCCTTCACATTTCAATTCTTTTCTTTTTTTAATGGGGATGAGTTAGCTACCTCAGAGGTTTGTTATGGAGACTGAGTGAATGATATAGTTAGATATAAACTTCTAAGTAAGATTCTACTTTTCAGAATATCTTTTTATTTCCAAGCCAAATGAACCAAAATAATGTTAAGACAAACAAACAAAAACACAACAGCAAAAATGTTCAGTAACAGCAGCCCCCAAGGGAGGCAGCACAGCACATACCATACATCTGGAACAGGGAGGAGGCACTGTCTGAAGCTGCTATGACAACCCCTGCCCCTTGGAAGCTGGTGGTGATTTATAGAATTTTGAGAATTCTCACTAAAAACCCCAAGTCTGCAGGGAAGCAAATTAAATCAGTATTTTTGTTTTCTCCTTTGAGTAAGAAAAAAAAAAAGAGTGAAATAGAGAACGTTAAGAAAAAAATAAAGGCCTGACTGTCCCTGACAGAAGTCTCCAGGGCATGCACACACTGCATCAGGGATCAGGGCACACAAGAGACTTCCCCCATGCAAATGGGTTGTTGCACCCCCCCCCCCCCAATAGGTTTATCTTGCTAATATAGGCAGGCATTCTAAAGAGATTATTAGCATATCCAGTCATATAACACAAATCACATGATAACATTTATATAAAAATGAGTACGTTTGGTTTATTTAAGAAATAAACACAGGGGCTGTATAAAACATTTAAACAGTTTAAAGGGGGAAAAGTCATTATTCTATCAATAGATACAGCATACCACCTAGATCAAGCAAACAACCTTACATGTGAATACAAGGGAGTAAAAAATCACCCATGTTAAATCAGAGCAAATAAAAGGTTTGGGCAAAGTTGCAAGATAACTACGTAAACATGCTATGGCAAATGAACTAACAAAAAACAAAGAAGGCAAAAAGAAGCAGCCTGCAGAAGATAAAGAACCCATAACCTACAGACAAGAACTATCTCACATGTACTTTGAGTGGTAAACTTAATAAAACAAGAGCTCAAAGACAAGATTATGATACAACAAGATGAGATGAAAGATAAATTATGGACCTAAGGAAACAAATTGAGGCCCAAAGCAACATATTTTCAGAACAAATAAATTAGAAAAAGGGGACAGAATAGAGATAGTTAGCAATTAAATTACATAATAGAAAAGCTTTCTTCAGATATTCAGAATACAGATGGAAAAGACAAAGATTAAAGTCAGAAAAGCTAATTAATAAATATGGAGCTAAAAATTTCTCTAGTACAATAATGAGTGCCCCTGAAATAGAGCACTCAACAAACGCAGCAGGAAATTATACGATAAAAGCGAACTTACCTGAAATGAAGAACTGACTACAGATAGGAAATATCCTGCTGAAGGGAGGAGGGGACATAGAATATATATTATTCTCAATTTTCAAAGCAGGAAGTCAATCAGTGCTATCTAAAATTGAAAAAAGAAAAGCCATAATTTCTTCCACTTAGTGCTTTTCTTAATGTCTTTTCTTTAGGGGATTCTTTTGCAAAATTTCTATTTTGGTGAAGAAATATTTAGCATATTCTTCTGTTTTACCTTGCTTCTTTTATAAAATTATAATTGCTTTCATTTTAAAAAATAGCATATTATTTTTGTAAAGGTATTGCTTTTACTCTATGCAAAAGGAAAAGTTGGTAGGTAGGTAGTAAGCTAGGTGTCTGGAGTGATATTAACTTAGTAATGGTATTTCTGGTTGGTAATAAGAATTGGGATATATATCAGAGTTTAGTCAGGAGGCAGAAACCAATTGTTTTTAACAGAATATATTTAATATAAAGTATTGAAAAGAGATACTAAAGTGGTAAAGTGGGATACAAAAGTTTTCTCAGAAATATCAACTGGGAGAAGCAGCTAACATTTCTGAGGCTATGGGACAAAGGAAAGAGGTTGGAATTACTAAATATGTAAACACATAGGAGGGAACTAAAATTCATGGAACTAAAATTCAGATCTCTGCTACTTAGGCTGGTATTAATGCCTCTGGGACTGAGCATGGGTCCTTTGGGCCTGAGCCCCTGACACCTGGTGCTGGTGTCTCTGAGGAGGGCACAACAAGGCTATTTGGGATAATAAGTGAGGTCGAAAACAATATTATTTTGTTCTAGATGGCTAGCCAGAATAGTCAATACCTTTCCACTTAGAATTCTCCCTCTGTGTCTCTCAGTAGGGTTTTTAAAAAGCTTTTTATTCATACTTACGCATTTTTTAAATTCATAGCTAACTAGTTTAGTTTTATTCCTGTAAATGAAAACTAAATGAAATTCCTTAAGACACTTCTTGTAAGTTTTTTAAACACATAAAGTTCTTTCACTTAATAGTTTTTACACATGCTGTTCTGTCTGCCCAGAGACTCTTCCTTCTGCTCTTCACATGAAAGGTTTTATATCCTTAAGGTCTCAGTTTAAATAGCCCTTTCCCAGAATCCACATATATGACCAGGTCTTCTCTATTACTTGTCAATTCACTGGATTTATTTACTAACCTATTACAAATATATATCTGTATATGTGCGTACATAATTTTATTTTATCTAATTTTGTATATGTTTGGAATTCTCCATAATGGGAAAAATTTCATTGATAAACTTTTTTTTACTCTAATTCAGTTAAGGTTTTGCCTTGGTATACCAAAATTATAATTCTAGAAATTATTTGTATATAAAGACATTTATATATGGATTTTTTTTACAGAACAGCAAAGATTTGGAAATAACCCAGATATCAGTGCGGGAGGGACCAGTTTAATGAATTCTGGTATAAAATCATACTATGAAATACTACTCAGATATTAGAGAATGGAGCATTACTCTATATGTAATGAGTAAGAAAACAGGTATAGATCATTGTGTATAGCGTGCATACCATGATTTGTGTCCATATGTAACCAAAAGATAGAGGGGTGGCCCTAGCCAGTTTGCCTCAGTGAATAGAGCATCGACTTATGAATCAGAAGGTCATGGCTTGATTCCCAGTCAGGACACATGCTTGGGTTATGGGGTCAATCCTTAGTAGGGGCTGTGCAGGAGGCAGCCTATCAATGATTCTGTCTTATCATTTATGTTTTTATATCTCTCTCCCTCTTCCTTCCTCTCTGACATAAATAAAAATGTATTTTAAAAAAATATACAGGGTGGGCAAGAGGAGGTTTATAATTGTTTGTATGGAAAAAGATATGCAGGTTATGATTATTAAAATAGCTTTATTAACTCAAAAGAATGTTACAGTAAACCTACCCTTGCCTACTCCTTTATTATACTGGGATTTATCTGGATTATCTTTGCTAATATAGACCAGAATCTAGTAACAGTAGTTACCTCAGAGACAGGGAATCAGATGACTGAAGGTTTAAAGGCAGGATGGGCACTTTCTTTTTCACTGAACAAAAATACTATGGAGGTAAAATGAATGACTGTTTCAGGCTGGAATTATAGGGAACACTTTTCAAAGAACAAAGATAATAAAAATTTAGTATTGCTTTTATCTAACGAAAGTAGAAACTATATAAATGGGTAATTATAATAGATATTGCTATGAGTTTATATATATATATATATATATATATATATATATATATATGTAAATGCTTTCACATACAAATGGAAATATCTGGATTTTATTTGTTTTTAGGTGGTGATAGTGGACTGGATGGGTTAGGAGGACCAGGTGTACAACTAGGAAGCCCCGATAAGAAAAAAAGGAAGACAAACACACAGGTAAATTGACATTTTCTTATAATTGCAGTTTTTACTCGCTGATATGATCAGGCTGTTGAGGTAAATTAAAATTTGGTCATGGGACCCTGGCTGGGTTGCTCAGTTGGTTAGAACATCGTCCTGTACTGCCTAGGTTGCAGGTGCAATCCCTGGTCAGGGCGCATACATGAAGCAACCAATAAATGCATGAATGGTGGAACAACAAATAGATGTTTCTTTTCTCTCTCAAATCAGGTTTTTGAAAAAGAAAAAATTAAATTTGGTCATTGTTTTTGTTTCCTATCCTCATTCAGAAACTAATAGTGAATTCTGCAATAAATGTATTTTTTTTTCTCTGCAGCTAATGGTTATTGTGGAATTGTATGTCTAGAGTGTTTATTGCAAGTGGGAAATGTAGGTAGACAAATTAAAATGCTTATTCTTAAGTCTAATTTTAAAGATATAGATGTCTATAGTCCTATTACAAGACATATATGGAGACAAGTTTAACTTGAAGTAACAGTGTTCAACTATTATAATTCAGTAGCATGTGCATATCATGAAGTAATCATGGTGGAGATACCTTTTGTCTATAAACTGTGGTTTTAATAAGCAATACAGGCTTTGCAGGGTTTATTCTCTATAAATTTGGAGCATTCTTTTTATGATATATACTGTGAATAAGGATAATGTATGTACAGATGACTTTTTTCTGTTTTGTCCACCATCTGTTAACCTTGTAGTGTGACTAAACTGGAAGTTTATTTTTCCATTCTGTGGCCTAGAACTTTGGGGACAAGTTAATAGTTATTTCTTAAAGTTAAGCTAGAAAAATGTTTAGATTCTGTTTATTTAATTTTATGATTATTTAGGGGTATAAGAGGTATTTTTAGTTAGAATTTACATGAAAGATTCTAGAGTTATAAGCAAGTGTGTTAAGTGAAAATTATGGTAATGAATTGTCTTTTAATAGTTAAATACTTTTGAAATTTGAAGTAATGGATTCATGCTCAGAAAAGCATTACTTTACTTATTTCCTTTTCTAAATGAAAGAAACCTATACATTTTATTATTACATATAATTATATACAAAATTTGGAATTTAAAGGTCAAGTGAATGAAATTTTCATTCTAAGCGAAACTTGACTAAAACTAAGTTCATAAGTGTCAAGATTTTATAGTGGAATGAATTTAATAACTGCTTTGATTAGAAGCATGTATTTTACTTTACATTCTCATTTTAGGGGCCTTCTTTTCCTCCATTGTCTGAGTATGCTCCGCCACCGAATCCAAACTCTGACCATCTAGTGGCTGCTAATCCATTTGATGACAACTATAATACTATTTCCTATAAACCACTACCTTCGTCAAATCCATATCTTGGCCCTGGGTATCCTGGTTTTGGAGGCTACAGCACATTCAGAATGCCACCTCACGTCCCTCCAAGAATGTCTTCCCCATACTGTGCTCCTTACTCGCTCAGGAATCAACCACACCCATTTCCTCAGAATCCTCTGGGCATGGGTTTTAATCGACCTCATGCCTTTAACTTTGGGCCACATGATAATTCAAATTTTGGAAATCCATCTTATAATAATGCACTAAGTCAGAATGTTAATATGCCTAATCAACACTTTAGACAAAATCCTGCTGAAAACTTCAACCAGATTCCTCCACAGAATGCTGGCCAGGTTTCTAATCCTGAGTTGGCATCTAACTTCATCCCTGGAAATAATTCAAATTTTGCTTCTCCATTAGAATCTAATCATTCTTTTATTCCTCCCCCAAATACTTTTGGTCAAGCAAAAGCAGCACCACCCCCAAAACAAGATTTTAATCAAGGATCAACCAAAAGCACTAATCAAAATTCCTCGGCTCAGCCACCTCACTTAAATACGGATGACACGATGAATCAGAGTAACATTGAATTAAAAAATGTTAACCAAAACAATGCAGTAAATCAAGAGAATAGCCGTTCAAGTAGTGCTGAAGCTGCAAACAACAACCATGCCAATGGGACACAGAATAAGCCACGGCAACCTCGAGGCGCAGCAGACACAGGCACCACGGAAAAAAGCAATAAATCCTCCCTTCACCCAAGCCGCCGCGGCCATTCTTCTTCCGACCCCGTGTACCCGTGTGGGATCTGTACGAATGAAGTGAACGATGATCAGGATGCCATCTTGTGTGAAGCCTCTTGTCAGAAATGGTTTCATCGGATCTGCACCGGAATGACTGAGACGGCGTATGGCCTGCTAACTGCAGAAGCATCAGCAGTCTGGGGCTGCGATACCTGCATGGCTGACAAAGATATCCAGCTGATGCGCACTAGAGAAACTTTTGGCCCGCCTGCAGTGGGCAGCGATGCTTAATCACAGGCATTAACTAATGTGAGGGGTTTTTTCCCTGTGTGTGACAGAGGTTCATTGACACAGGATTTTAATGTTTTACAATATTTTTTTTTAAATGCACATGCAAAAAAAAAAAAAAAAAAGATGATTTACCTTTTAGTTTTTATTAATATTTCACTTCATTACTAGTGCAAATTTTATATTATCTTAGTTTGTTACCTAGGATAATATATATGGGGGTGCTTTAGAAAGTATTTTACAAATAAATGTTAGTTGTTGTTGGTCATAAAAGCCTCTTGAAGCTTCAAAGTAATATGTAGCAAATGTAGGCAAGTTTTGACTTAAAAGTTAGAACCATTGAAAAGTGTATATTTCAGTGCTAAACTTTGGTGATATCACAGACATTTAGTTCAAAAATATTTTTGAGGATCCATTTAATGTGGTGTTTGGAAAATATATTTTTATTTATTTCAGAGAGGGAGAGAGAAACATCAATGATGAGAAAGAATCATTGATCTTCTGCACGCCCCCTCCTAGGGATCGAGCCCACAACCTGGGCATGTGTCCTGACCGGGAATCGAACTGGTTCATAGGTCGATGCTCAACCACGGACACACACTGGCCGGGCACCCATGTAATGTGTTTTCAGAAAGAAAAAAAAAGGAGCTATAGTATAGAAGAAAACATACATTTAATCGGTGTTTTTAAAAATAATAGTGTGTACACCTGATTCCTCCCTAACTAGGGTTCTTGAAATTAGTGACTTTCATGTTTCAAGTCAGTCTATTCAGGATATGTTTGTACAGATATGAGACAAATGTTAGCATATAGAAGATGCGCAGTAAGTATTTGTGGATTAACTTGTATAATAGATTGTACCACATGAAACTGCTATTGTTAGATAAGTTGAAAATTGACTTAAGTTACTATAGTGGATGTGTTTTAGTTGTATTTAGAATTGTAACAGTATTATGCTTTTCTCTCTTCCATTTTTTTTTTATTATTGGTTATTGCTTTCCAGAGAAATAAATAATATATCCTTGGGAGAATTGTGAATACTTTTTAATGCATGATTTCAAACTGAGACATGTTGCAAATAAAAGTGGTAGAAACATAAACTTGGCTTTAGAGCACTCTGCTAGCGAAAGACGTTCATTGATTGTTTGAAAAATAGTGTCCTGGGGATGTGAATTCAAAATGGAGGCTCAAGGGAGATTAAAATCCATTTTAAGCAAAGACCAATTAAGAGCCACAGTGAAAGCTAACTTACAAAAAAACAACTCAAGTCCTTACAACAGATAGTTTTTGCTATGACTCGGGAAAGTGTAAAAATGGACCTGAGAGTATCCTCTTGAAAGATGATACAGAATGGAGACGGCTGGAAGTCTATTCATTAAGATTCAGCAGAAACTCAGTTTTGGGGTGGAACATGACCTGTGATCAGAAAAAGAAAAAAGGATACCGTGGCAATTGGCAGTCATTTATACAATGGTTGGGTGTTGAAGCTTCCAAACTTGCGTCATCACCATAAAAACTCTGAAGACCATATGGTGACCTGTGAAAGGAATAATGAATCACTATTTAAACCGTGGTGAAACGGCAGCAGCAGCATATGCTAAGAAATTAAAATTAGGCCAGAAAATTCCGATTTAAAAATTATCCTGTGGTTAGTAAACATGAACCCACACTTTTACGTGACAGCACTTGATCTCATGTGTCAAAAGCTACGAAAGCAAAGTTAGCTGAAGTGGGCTATTTTATCACATCCATCTTAGTCATCAGGCCTTTATACAATGAACTACCATCTTTTTCATCATTTGGAGCTTTTTCTAAGAACATATTTTCCAATTGAGAAGAAGTAATTGGAGAATTTGGACATTTTAAACAGCCTAACAAATGGTGAATTTTATAAAAATGAAATATTTAATCTAATTTGAAGAAAATTATTAATCCTCATAATTTGATGAAACAAAACTTATTTTTATATGTATTATTTTAATTTTGACTATAAAAACAGCAGTTTCATATGGTATAAGATAATATAAGTTTTTTTCCATCTACCTGTGACTAGTTAGAAATGAGTACAAAATATTTTAAGTAGCTGTAAAATAATGTATCTTTACAGTTTTAGGAAATGAAATGATATAGACTCTAATAATAGGTACTCTTTTGTGTGGAAACTTTATCAGTTGAAACAGTCAAGTTGAAATGCAGTATTTTGGGCTGACTCTGAAATTTGATATGTTCAGTAGCATACTTGAAGATCCCAGTGTGCTTACACTGTAGCTTTTGTTAGATATAAAAGTTTTTCTAAATATTTAAGGACTTAATTAAGTTGTTCTTGAAATCCTAGTGAGTGCTGATATTAAGACATGGTGCACTGCATGCTATATGCTCAATACTAGCACCAGATCATGACTTTCTTTATGACTGAATGCAGTTAGATATTTAGTAGAACCTTCCAATGTTTGCAGTAATTAACACTTTACATGGTAGTACTTGAGTTGTGCTCGTTGCTAAAACTGATTATGCAGTCTTAACCCTTTGTTGCTTACAGTTTCAATAGTTAGTTGTTTTATAAAAATGAAACCACCTCTCCTTAGTTAGCCAAAAGATACTTGGTTTGTAATGCAATTATTTCATTTTTCATGTGTAAGTAGTTGTCTTTAAAAATTTACAAGTGGATTTTTCTTCAGGTATTTAGGTTTTCAGAGTACCTTATTTAAATAAGGATCTGTAATTATTAAAAATAAAAGCCAGTGGTTGATTCTGACAGTCAATCATAGGCAAACTATACTAGTAGTAATCATAGCTGATGAATGTTTTCATGTATTTGCATTCATTTTTTTACGAGGTCTACCTTTGTCTCTACATAACACTAAGTCAAAAATTATCTAGATATTTTTGGTAGGAAAAATGATGAACTCTAAGAATGGCCAGATAGTAATTTATCCAATTTGACCCAAAGAAGGCTGTTACATACCTAAAAAAGGTGTGACTTTTTTAGGACCAGCGATGAGCTGCTCTAAACATTTAAAAATATTCATTGACAGAAAGAAATGTACATAGGTGAGATATTCTTCCAGTAGCATTGCACCTTTTTGTTGTAATTATTTTCCTTCACTAAAAGGCTCATTATCATCACACGTGCACACACACACACACACACATGTGCACACACAGGAGGGCAGGAAATCTTGGAGTTTCTTCTACATTCTCATTTGCCAAAGTTCATCCTGGCTAACCGGCAACATTTAGGCTCTAACTTGCTGGAGGAAAGTTCTAAAGCATCATCAGTTCCTTTCTGAGAATTTGCTTTGTTAATTTCACTAGCCTTTCTGTGCACTTGCTTCTACATGCCACTGGACTAACACTGAAATAGCTTAACTTATAAAAGAAAAATAATTCTTCAGATAAAGTGCTTAGAATTTAGATTTGTGATCAGTGCTTTCATTTTGTATGAAATACTTTAGAGTATTACTATTATGATTCTTGTTATCCAAATTAGAAAATTATGTACATATAACTGAAGATTTTCTTGACTGGTACTTATTCATAAATTAACAGAATATAAAGAAATCCAATTTCGGGGTGTTTTGGATTTTTTTTTAATTTTTTTTTTTTTTAGACTCCCAACTCTGACTAGTGATAGGAGAAAAAACTCAGTAGTATGGGTCACCATTAAATCTGCCAACTTTAGTCATCCAAATAAGTATCAGAAGTCTTTATCCAATATTCTAACTTGTTCATCTTAAACAAATTAAGAGTGCTACTGCTTTATGTCCAACGTCCTATAGTGATTGTATTTAGTTGTAAAATATATATATATATATAAACAATAAAAAAGGAGCTCTAATTAGTTTCTGATTTTTTTGCAGTGCATAGAAGTCTCAGATGCATGAACATTTAGGCTATTTTAGATTTTTTTAATTAAAAAATTTAAAAGTATTGAGGCTCCCAAAGTTTATTTGAAAATAGTGGTAAGATAATTAGATTCTTAGGGAAGCTCATAAAGGCTTATTAAAGCATGATATAGTTAACCAGTAGTATCATGCTGTGCACTTAGCTTCTTTAGGAAACCAATCGGTATAGGTGGGAAAAGAAGCAGAGGTCTTTCCTTTTTCCTGATGTGATTCAGGAAGGTTAAGTTCTTTGATATGAGTGTTTCCCCGTTGTCCTCTTACCATCCTAAGCTCTCTGCTGCGATGCTATATAAGCCATCTTGCCTTTTCCCTTCCTGGATACTCTGTGCTTCAGAATTTCATATCTTCCCTCCTGTCAGAATTCCCATTTCTTTGTGTGGCTGTGGTTGACTAGATTTTAAGAGAAAGATGTTTTCTACCAGGATGTGTGAATGAAGATCATGAAGAAAGTGGAATTAAATTTCTTTTTTAAAAGGGTGTTTATTAGTTCAGAATGAATCTTTAATATGTAAGGTTTCAACAAAATGATCACATTTTAGACACCATAGAAAGCAGTATTTTTGCCGAATTGGTGATACTTTTTTGAGAGTATTTCCCAATTTCCTTTAGATTGTTGGGATTAAAAAGTTTCCTTTCTTCTACTTCTCTGAACTCAGAGGTTTTCTTCTCATTTGTAAATATTAGAATATCACCTTTTTATGTATTTCATTTAACCAACAGAGCCGTATGGAAGTCACACCACGTTTTTCTCACTCTTGGTACAGTGATGGGAATTTAGAGATACCCTTTGATAAAGAGGATAAGGATAACATTAACATCTCCCAAGACAAGTGGCCTAAGGGAAATGAAGGGAAGAAAATGGCTATATTTAAGCCAAACATTAATACATCAAAAACTGCCTGTATTTTTCATGAAACCCAATAGATAAGTTTCATCTTTGTCATAGTTTGTCAAATTACTTGCAATTATATTAAAATGTATTCTAAATACCTGTATTTCCTTGTTCTGTAGATGATGTTGCTTGTCAGTTAAAATATCTTATAAAAGAAAGTCCTGCTTCTTATCATGATGTATGTGACTTAAATAACTGTTTCATAT